GGTGAGCCGAGATCGCGCCATTGCACTCCAGCCTGGGTAACAAGAGCGAAACTCCATCTCAAAAAAAATAAATAAATAAATAATAAAATAAAATTTAAAAAGCATAAAAAAGAAAAGTAACCCAAAGTGGAAAACTCACTTGGAGGCCCTTCTGCTAATGAATGGATAAAAAAAAAATGGCACAATCCATACACTGGAATTCTATTTGGCCACAAAAAAGGAATGAGCTGTCTATACCTACTACATCAGAGCTCCCCAACCCCGGGCTGCAGACCCGCGCAGGGCAGTGGCCTGTTAGGAACCGGGCCACGCAGCGGGAGGTGAGCAGCGGGCAGACAAGCCCGCACTAGCGCCCGAGCTCCGCCTCCTGTCCTCCTGTCGGATCAGCGGCAGCATTAGATTCTCAAAGGAGCGCGAACCCTATTGTGAACTGCGCATGCGAGGGCTCTAGGTTGCGCGCTCCTTAGGGCAATCCAAATAACAGCCGGATGATCTGAGGTGGAACAGTTTCTTTCCCAAATCATCTCCAACTCCCTTGAGGTCGGTGGAAAAATAGTTTTCCACGAAACCAGCCCCTGGTGCCAAAAAGTTTGAAGACTGCTGTACTACATGATGGATGAATCTGTAAAATATTATGCTAAGTGAAACAAGCCAAGAGGTCCCACTGAGGGCGAAGGAGAGCTGGGGTGGGGGGCAGGTCCGTGGGGCCGCCGTCCTGCCTACACGGCTCCAGTGCGCAACAGGCTCCCCGTCCCCAGATCTTGAGGCCCCGGAAAGGAGGGGCTCCTGGGATCACTCGCGGGTTCCGGCCCTGCCTGTAAAATTAGAAATCGCCTGGTGGTAGCCGGGCGCAGTGGCTCAAGCCTGTAATCCCAGCACTTTGGGAGGCCGAGGCGGGTGGATCACGAGGTCAAGCGATCGAGACCATCCTGGTCAACACGGTGAAACCCTGTCTCTACTAAAAATACAAAAAAGTAGCTGGGCATGGTGGCGCGTGCCTGTAATCCCAGCTACTCAGGAGGCTGAGGCAGGAGAATTGCCTGAACCCAGGAGGCGGAGGTTGCGGTGAGCCGAGATCGCGCCATTGCACTCCAGCCTGGGTAACAAGAGCGAAACTCCGTCTCAAAAAAGAAAAGAAAAGAAAAGAAATCGCCTGGTGGGATCACCGAGGAAACGGAGGCCCACAGAGGGAGGCGGCAGCCAGGGAGCAGTGGAGCCTAGATGAGAAGCTGGGACCTGTGGCCCCCAGTCCTGAGGTTCCCCTCCACCATATCACCTCTTAAAACCAGAGGAGCACCTGCAGGGTCACAGGAGATAGGACATCGCGAGGGTCCCAGAAGAACGGAGGCCTCTTGATTTCTGAGACCCTGTGGGGAGGAGGGGTGGAGAGAATTCAGAACAGGGCTGGGCCCACAGCCTGAGTCTTTCCTGGGAATGGGAGTTTGACTCCTGAGCCCGCTGCCCTTCGCCTTCCCTGGCAAGGCAGGAGCTGCTCCCCCACAGTGGAAAGCCGGCAGGACAGCGGGAAGGAGAAGGGTGTGGATGATGTGGGGGTTGTGGCCAGGGGCAGGAAAAGGGGGTCCCCCAGGGAGATCCCAAGGGTCAGCTGTGCCGTGTCCATGTCACAATTGAGCTCAGCAGTCCTCAGGGGCCACCTGGACAGGGGAATCTGGGCGTTTGGGGAATAGTCAGGTGAAGAAAGGAGTCACAGAAGGAGAAACCCACCTCCTGGCGCTGCCAGATGTCTCTGAGGCTCAGCAGTCCCCTCAGCGGGCTGAGGGAGGATGCCTGGGATGGGCAGTGAGCCGGAAGGGGAGGAGGGCGGGTGGCAGGGCCATTAGCCTGAGGTTCTAGCAGCTTGGGTGAGCAGCTAATGGGGCATCCTGGCTGGAGCTGAGACCGCACCGGAGGAGGTGAGGGGCTAGGAAGATGCAGGAAAACAGAAGGGCCAGGGAGGAATCGGGATCCTATCTGGGTAGGAGCCGGGCTTGTAGCCAGTGCCTTGCAGGAGCAGGGCTGGGGCTTGGCCACAAACCGGCGCTATTCCCTCCCCACCTCTCCTGACTGTTCACACCTGCACTGGGGCCAGGTCTCCCCACCCTCGATGCACCCCTGGGCAGGCCCCTGGCCTCACTGGCTCACCCCAACAGCACAGGGTACCCCGTGACTGCATTCACCAAACCATCTCCACGTGGCAGTGGGTGTGGGATAAGGTGTGATCACATTCAGGTGTGGCTCTGCACAGGTGTGATCACGTTCAGGTGTGGCTCTGCACAGGATGTGGGCTTGTTTTAGTTTTTGTGAGGAGGGGGCCCCTGTGTTCTCCCTCCCCTTCCCCTCTAGCTCCATGGTGGTGGCTCCAGACCTTTCCAGGGCTGGCAGGAGGAGGAGGAAGGCAAGGGACAGGCACAGCCTCCGCTGGAGACATTGGGTGTCCCTCCCTGAGGCACAGGGGATGCGGCCTGGCCGGCTGCGCAGCTTCCTTCCCTCAGCCCTGAGAATCCGGCCGGCTGTTCAGCTCCCCGGTGGGGTCACTTGGGCCTCCCAGGAGGACCTCTCTGGACGCTGTCTCAGGTGTGTCCACGCCTGCCGATGAGAAGCCAGCTCTGCTCTGTGAATCTGTCTCTGGTTCTCACTGTGCCCATGTCTATCTCTGTCTCTGTTTCCCCCCTCAGAATGACAACACAGACTCTCCACATCTGTTTCTCAGGTGTATGTGGGTCACCTGACCACTCTGCCCCTTCCAACTTCAGGTCCTCCATCATAAGCCTCTCTCCGTGTGGCCTCCTGACAGCTCTGGTCACCAGGCTTCAGGGGGGACAGCACTGGGGTCTCAGCCTATCACCACCTCCCTCCAAAGACGCCATCTCACTCCTTTTTGCCTGTGATCACCTTACCCATGGGAGACTCACAACTGCTTGCTCTGCCCGATGGAGAGGGTGCCAGCTGCCACATCCCCCACAGGCCTTTCCCGCCTCCTCTGCCATTCTCCCACCCCAGCTAGATGGCAGCAGACGGCAGCCCCAGATGCGTCTCCTATTCTCTGACAGCCCCGCTCCCTTGGCTTCTGAGATGTATGGAAAATGCTGGAACGTGCTCCTCACCACCACTCCCACGATCACCCATACTCTGATGGCTTTTCGTCCTCCCCAGCCCCGGGCTTTTGCTTAGACAGACTGGGCCGGGCTGGGTGATGGCTGGGGACAGCAAAGCCCATGAAGCTGCCTCTTATTCCCTCTTAACCCCGGGGGAGGAGCAAAACTCCAGCTCTTCATGGCTCTTTTTCGATGGTGGGGTTTTCAGCTTTTCTGTTCTCTGCTTTGGGGTGGCAGTGCCCATTCTAAAGTTGCAGGATTCTATGGCACCTTTGTCCCCTTGAGAGCCATGAAGACCACAATTTTGTCAATCTCTTTGCAGCTGTCAGGGCTGAGTGCCCTGGGATGGACAGGTGAGCCGTGGGACAGAGAGACAGCTCACGGCTTCCACTCTCCACAGTGCCGCTCTCCCACCTGAAATCCAGGTCCCCACGCATAGCCAGTCCTCATTCTCCCAGCAAGCTCAACCCCAGGAAGCAGATATTTAAAGACCCTGGTGTTGAACTCCCTGAAGTTCTGAGCCCAGCCATCTGCATGCAGTAGGTGTTCAATGAATGCTTCTGAAATTCTGCTGACTGAATGCAAACAGGGGCTGGCAACTCCCAGATGGCCTTGCTCGGGGACCAGATCCTGACCAGTTATTTCTCATGGGCCACCCCTCAGGGAAAATGAAAACCGCCTGAATGGCCACATTTTGGTGACTAGAGCTCTCTCTGACTTTGCAGAAACCTGAAGTCCACGGTGCTAATTATCTTAACTTGTTTTTTCAAGAGGGCTTTTTTTTTTTTTTTTTTAACTGGGAAATGGTTGAACCCACACAAATAGCCAATATGCTTTGCATTTCCTTATGTTTCTTATCACACTCTGTTTACATGTGTCTTGCTCAGATGGCCTCATCTGACTTGGGAACATTTGACTGGGCTGGGTGACCACAAGTGTCACACAGCTGGAGAACCACAGAGTGGCTCAGGGGCATGGGTGTCAGAGCCAACTGACTCCAGCTTCTGGTCCCACTTCAGTCACCCACCAGCTATGGGATCTCTGGCAGGAGATGACACCTCTCTGGGCCATTCTGTCATCTGAAACTGGGGATAATGCTGGTATCTACCACAGGGTTATTGAGAGATAGAAGATGATGTATCAGGCCAGGTCCTGCAGACCGGGCAGCTGGTATTTGCATCCCTGCAGGCCAGATCCTCTCCCGGCGTCCAGGCATCCCAGCATTTGGCCCTTTTCCTCTGGAGTCTGGTGTTTTCTCCTTCCATCCACCAGTACCCCCCGGACAAGCACACCACCAGAACAAAACAGGAGAAGGAGGAAAGACCGTTCTCTTTGGCTTGCTTCCTCATTTATTTGGGTAGTTTTTCTTCTGTCATTGTTCATGATCCAAATTTGTCATTGTTCTCTGATCCAAATGTATTGAGCAATGGGAATGGCCTTTTCTGGAAAAGGCGCTGCGGGAGCAGAATGCAGCCTCAACCCTGGAGCCTTGTCTCCCACGCTCCTGACTCGCCAGCTGGGAGCAGCCCTGAGGATGGGTTTCTCCCCTCTCCCACCCCTGCCACTCACTGGTCAGCCCCCTCAGACCCCGGGCACTGCCCTTAGCTCCTGTGCCACCGTCAGAAAAGCACAGGAGTCGCCTGCTGCTCTGAGGACCTCAGTGTTCTCCAGAGCAGCGGCTCACCCTGACCCCTTCCCAGAGCCCAGTCCATAGAGTGTGGGTGGATGGGGATGGAGGTGAGAGCAAGAGCTCAGCTTTAGGGCACACACCCTTAGGAAGGCTGGGTGTCCACCCTACCCCCAAGCCCCACTGATTCCCAGTTTGCCACTCCAAGTTCTGCCTGGCATGAGCGAGGAAATATTCTGAAGATGACTCTCTAGCTATACCCACCTGCCCCAGAGGAACTAGCTTTCAGCACAGGCCACCTGGCCACCAGTTCCAGAGCCTTGTGAGTGTTTACTGCTCTTTCTTTCAGCTAGACAGTCTTCTCCCTGCTCCTTTCCGCCCTGCCACCATGGACCACAGAGCCCACGCAGCCTCCTCAGCAGCTCATGAAAGTCGGCTTGGAACGCGGATGAGGAGAAGTAGTAGACAAAGGGGTCGACACAGGAGTTCAGGGTGCTGAGAAGCATCACGTAGATCCTCCACGTTGGGCTTTGATCCTGGACAAAGCCCACGACATGGGACACGTTGTAGGGCCCAAAGCAGACGAGGAAGTTGAGCAGCGTGGCTGCCACCAGCCCCGCCACCCTCCTCTGCCGTCGGCGGCTGCCCCTCCTGCCAAGGATCCACACCAGGCGGCTGTAGCAGTAGCTGGTGATGAGCAGGGGGACCACGAAGAGGACCACAGCCATCTCCAACCGCACGGGCAGCAGGATGGCCAGCTGGTCTTTCTTGAACTCCAGGTAGCAGGTCCCATTGGTGCCCCTGGTGTGAGAGGTGTCCCCCGAGAATTCCATGACATAGACCACACTGCAGTGAGCAGAGGCCAGCAGCCAGCAGGCCACACTCACCACACCCGCCTGTCCCAGCCTTGGCCGGGTCTTGTACCACAGCGGGTGGGCCACGCTCAGGAAGCGCTCAATGCTCACGGCTGCCAGGAAGAGGGCGGTGAGATAGACGGTGGTGAAGAAGATGAATCCCGAGAGCGGGCAGAGGATGAAGGGCAGGGGCCAGTGCATGCCGCTGGCCGCCTCCACCATGCGGAAGGGCAGGAACAGCAGCAGGAGCAGGTCCGAGGCGGTCAGGTTGAGCAGGAGCACGTCCACGGCCACCGGGCGGCGCCGCAGCTTGCCCACGAAGACCACCAGGGCCAGCAGGTTGAGGGGGAGCCCCACCAGGAAGGTGAGGAGGTACACGGAGAAGGCGAGCCAGTGATTGCCGGGGAAGTAGGACCCGTCGGGGCCTGCACCCATGCTGGTGGCCACTGGTGAGAGAGTGACATGGAGCTGGTAGTGGGGAGCCTTCCTGCCCTGGCCAACAGCATCTCACCCAAAAGGGCACGTGGTCACCACGCCCACCCCTCTTGCCTCCAGGTGCTTTCCAGGCGGGGTCAGCCTGCCTGTCTTCCTGAACATGCCCTGTCCCCTTCCTTCCCCAGCAGAGAAGCGCCCAGGGGCTCCTCCACCCAGCCCCTCGGGCCCAGGCTCACCTGCTTCTTTGAGACCCCAAGATATCTGCCGCACAGCAGCTTCCTGTCTCTCCAGACCCAGCGCAGTTGGCTATTTATCCAGCAGAACTGATAAAGACCTGGCCGTGCTCATGACGTCACTCACTGTTGAACAGTGGCACAAAGATGCCTTGAGCTCCGCGGCCAGGGCTGGTCCGTATGCAAAAAGGGCAATACATTCCACAATTGTGTGCCTCCCTCCTCCCACAGCCTCAGCTTGGGATGCTCTAAACAGGCCCCGGCCGACATCTTGCTCCCCTCCCCTCTCCTCCACTTGAATTTTGTCTCCTTCTCTAGAATGGCACTTGTTCAGTTTGCCTTGTAAGGGCAGGAAGTGTGATGCAGTGACAGAGAGCTAGGCTCCATGAGATCTGTTCCTTCCCGACTTTGTGATTTGGGAGAAATGACTTAAATTCTCTGTGTCTCTGCTTTTACCCCTGCAGAGCAGAGATTGTTATAGTACCCATCTCACAGATCAATGCATTCAGGCATGAAGATTAAAACGGTATGTAGGTAGATTAAAAGATTACTAATACACATCGAGTGCTTTGAAGGAAGCCTGACATGTGGTAGTGAGTGCATAGCGGATGTCAGCTGCTATTTTCCCTGTCACTGGTGCAATATTATCTCTGGGGTGACAATAAAAATAAAAAAAATAATAAAATAATAATAATGGTGGTGGCAGCAATGATGATAGCAGCTGCATTTTCACGGGCACATAATCCATAGCAGACACTTTGCTTCTAGGTCATAAAATCCTTGTCCCTTGCCGTGGGGAGGTGACTTTTTCCAGGTGATCCAACTTGTGAAACGTTGCCACCGGGGTGCAAACCCAAGCCCTGTCCAGCTTCACAGGTGATCTGTTAGTTCATTCAAACATTGACGGGGCACAATGAGATATCATTTCACATCCACTAGAATGACCGCAAACAAAAAGACAATGCCAAGGGTTGGCGGGGATCTGGAGAAACAGGGGCCTCATTTCCTACTGATGAGAATAACGGGAGGTGGTGCCACTGCTTTGGAAAGCAGGTGGCAGTTGCTTAAAAAGTTAAACATAAATTCACCACGCGATCCAACAATTCCACTGTAGGTATTTACTTAAGAGAAATGGAAACACAGGTCCACATAAAGACTCTATCCTAAATGTTCACGGCAGTCTCAGTCACGATTGCCAATAGTGGAAACGTTACCTGGCAGCCCATTAGCTGGTGTGTGATTTTAAAAAGTGGCACATCCATATACTGGAATTCTATTTGGCAATAAAAAAGAATGAGCTACCCATACATGCTACAACCTTATGCTGAGTGAAACGAGCCAGACATAAAAGACGATATATTGGCCGGGCGTGGTAGCTCACGCCTATAATCCCCACAGTTTGAGAGACCAAGGCAGGTGGATCACCTGAGGTCGGGAGTTTGAGACCAGACTGACCAACATGGAGAAACCCCATCTCTACTAAAAATACAAAATTAGCTGGATGTGATGGCACATGCCTGTAATCCCAGCTACTTGGGAGGCTGAGACAGGAGAATCTCTTGAACGCGGGAGGCAGAAGTTGCAGTGAGCCAAGATCGTGCCACTGCACTACAGCCTGGGCAACAAGAGCGAGACTCCATCTCAACAAACAAACAAACAAAACACATATTCTAAGATTGCATTTATATGAAACGTCCAGAATAGGCAAAGTTACAGAGTCAGAAAGTAGATCTGTGGTTGTCTGGGGGCTGAAGGTAGAAGTGGAGATTAAGTTGGGTTTTTCTTTTGTTTGTTTTGTTTTGTTTTGTTTTTTGAGATGGAGTCTTGCTCCATCAGCAGGCTGGAGTCCAGTGGCACCATCTCAGCTCAAAGCAACCTCCACCGCCTGGATTCAAGCGATTCCCCTGCCTCAACTTCCCTAGTAGCTTGGACTATAGGCATGTGCCACCACGCCACCAAGGTAGCCAGTGGCATGTACAATTTTTTGTATTAGTAGAGATAGGGTTTCACCATGTTGGCTAGGCTGGTCTCGAACTCCTGACCTTGTGATCTGCCCACCTCGGCCTCCCAAAGTGCTTGGATTACAGGTGAGGCACCGCGCCCGGCCGGGGTTTTTTTTGAGGCAGGGTCTTGTCCTGTCATCCAGGCTGGAGTACAGTGGCGTGATCTCAGCTCATTGCAACCTCCACCTCCCAGGTTCAAGCGGTTCTCATGGCTTAATCAGGAGACTGACTCAGGAGAGTAGCTGGGATAACAGGCGCCCACCACCACACTCCACCAATTGTTGTATTTTTAGTAGAGATGAGTTTTGTCATGTTGGCCAGGCTGGTCTCAGGTAAACTGACTTCAGGTATTCCACCCGCCCTGGCCTCCCAAAGTGCTGAGATTACAAGCATGAGCCACCCGCCTGGCCCAAGATTAAGTTTAAATGAACATGAAGGATTTTACTAGGGTCATGCAAATGTTCTAAAGTTCATTGAATTGCACACTTAACATGGGTGAATTTGATGATACGTACATGATATCTCAAGCTGTGGAAAGTACAGCAGTAGGTTGGGTGCGGCGGCTCAGGCCTGTAATTTTAGTACTTTGGGAGGCTGAGGTAGGAGGATTCCTTGAGCACAGGTTGTTTTTTTGAGATCAGCCTGGGCGATATAGGGAGATCTATATCCACAGAAGGAAGGAAGGGAGTGAGGGAGGGAGGGAGGGAGGGAAGGAAGAAGGAAAAGAAGGAAAGGAAGAAGGCAAGGAAGGAAGGAAAGGAGGGAGGAATTAGCTGCGTGTAGTGGCGTGTGCCCGTGGTCCCAGCTACTTGGGAAGCTGAAGTGGGAGAAACACTTGAGCCCAGGAGTTCAAGGCCGCAGTGAGCCGTGGCCATGCCACTGCACTCCAGCCTGAGCAACAGAGTGAGACCCTGTTCTCCCTCCCCCCACTGCTGCCACACACACACACAGAATGCAGTCATGACTGAAAAGTTTTTGCTGTCATGCTGTTTATATTTGGTGTTTGGGGGCTTGGGGGATGGAGTAGGGGAAGGATAATGAAGACGTGGATACTGAAGAGGTAAAGAGCCACTGGAGAGAACAGTGCGGGTGGGGGAGTCTCTCGGGTGCACAGGCTTGGCCTGCTTGCGGGGAGGTGGTAGGAGGTTTGGGGCTCACGGGAGTGAGAGGCGCCTAGGGTGGATCACGCCAACTCTCCTGGGCCCCAGGGAGGCAGTAGATTTGCCTTAAGTGGGAGGAGGCAAGAGGAACTGGGAGAAGCAGCCCAGTGCCCAGCAGCGGCTGCGGAGCAGGAGCCGACGAGAGCCAGCCTTGGCGCCCCATGGTGCGGGAGGAGGCAGTGGGGCTGCCTGAGCTGGAGTTTGGGTTTTTACTGAAATTCCCTGGTGTTGTCACTGCACAGATGCCAGGCTTATTTCTGGCTTCCAAAAAAAGTTACTTAATGTCTCTGGCCTGTTTCCATATTGATAAAACAGCCATAGAGCTTTCTTTGGAGGGCTATTAGGGGCATTCATTCATTCACTGAGCAAACGTTTACTGAGCACCTACTGTGTGCCAGTCTCTCTTCTGGGTGCTGGGGATATATCATCAACTGCAAGAAAAATCCTTGCATGCGTCGACATTTGAGACTGAACAGAGCTCATCTGCAGAAGTCAGTTAGTGCACACCAGCTGGTGGCTGCCATTTGTTGTGCCCCAATACATCAGCATCATGTTCATGGCAGTGTGGTCATTTAGAGCAGGGGCCCAGGTGTCTGTCTCCTTCACAGCCACTCCTCTCTCCCCTCCCTCTCATGGATTTGGGATGCCATCCTTTGCAAAATGGAATGCAAATACAGGGTTAACCCCCATACCCCCAAGTTCCCAAATGTCTCCTGGCCCTTGTGGGTCCTGCTTGGAAGGATCACATCCCACATTTGCCCCTTCCTTGCTGTAGGGCCTCAGGCAAGTTTCTTCAACCCGTTCTAGGATCGCAGCTACCTCGTGCAGCATTTGTGCAAATTAAGTGCTCCTTTTCCGAGGAATCCACAGTGCACCAAGCACTGCCTATGGAGTGGCTGGCGTAGCTCTTCAAATTAGAACGCAATACTCCTTATCTTGATGCAAGCAAGGCAGGCATGCAGCTTTGTGAGCAAAGGACAGGCTAGAATTTAGTCAGTGTCTGCCCCTCTGCCCAGCACCCTCGTGCAGTGAACACCTGCCCATCTGTACAGCGGTCGCGTGGCTGAACCACAGGGTTGTGTAAAGCTGAAGTGAGACAACGCTCATTGTCAGACACTCAGCATGGTACCCATCATGTATTACAGACTATATAGTTGACCTTCGACTAGCACAGGTTTGAACTGTGCAGTCCACTTACTTGTGGATTTTTTTCAGTAAATATATTGGAAACATTTTCAGAGATTTGCAACAATTTGAAAAAACTTGCAGAGGAACCACAAGCCTAGAACTACTGAAAAAAATTTAAGCAAAAGATAGATATGCCACAAATGCAAAAAAAATACACGTAGCTACTAGTCTATCTTATCATTTTCTATCCTAAAATGGACACAAAGCTCTGGGTTTTTTTGGAGACAGGGTCTGGTTCTATTGCCCAGGCTGGAATGCAATGGTGTGATCTCAGCTCCCTGCAACCTCTGCCTCCCTGGCTCAAACCCTCCTCCCACATCAGCCTCCCAAGTAGCTGGGACCACAGGCACACACCATCACGCCCTGATAATTTCTTTGTATTTTTGGTAAAGACAGGGTTTCACCATGTTGCTCAGGCTGGGCAAATCTCTTATAGAAAGTTAAAATTGGCTGGGCATGGTGGCTCACGCCTGTGATTCTAGCACTTTGGGAGGCCAAGGTGGATGGGTCAACTGAGGTCAGTCATTCAAGGCAAGCCTGGCTAACATGGCGAAACCCTGTCTCTAATAAAAATACAAAACATTAGAAAGGCGTGGTGGTGGGTGCCTGAAATCCCAGCTATTTGAGAGGCTGAGACAGGAGAATTGCTTGAACCAGGGAGGTGGAGGTTGCAGTGAGCTGAGATCATGCCATTGCACTCCAGCCTGGGAGACAGAGCAAGACTCTATTTCTAAAAAAAAAAAAAAAAAAAAAAATATATATATATATATATATATATATATATGCACACACAAACACAAACTCTACTTGATGCCATTTGAAGTCAAGAGAAGTGCAAGCAAACGTAAAGACGTGCAGTATTAAGTCATAAGTGCATAAAATTACTGTAGATACACTGGACTCCTGTGATAATTTCATAGCACAGGAGGCTGTCTTCGCGAGTTCAAGTGTTGAGTATCTGCTTAAAACACCACGTGAAGCTAATTGTCTCCTGGTGAGCAGCTCTCGCCAGTACATTGTGTATAGAAGTAAAAAAGTGATCTCTCATAGTTCTTGCATATTTTTCACCGCGTTTAGTGCAATACCGCAAACTTTGAATAACCCCATGGGCCCCTATGCGGGGCCACTAGTGATGGCAGCGCTCCTTCCAAGAAGCAAAGAAAAGTCATGACATTACAAGAAAGAGTTGAACCGCTTGATATCTACCATAGATTGAAATCTGCAGCTGTGATTACTGCTGATTCAGATAGGAAATTTCTCTCATAAACAGACGACATAAACTTACGGTACTGATAAATACAGCACAGTGCTGTGAAGATATTTCTCTTTCTAATGATGTTCTCCATAACATGTACTTTTAGCTTACTTTGTTGTAAGAGTACAGCATATAATACATATAACATACAAAATATGTCTTTTTTTTTTTTTTTTCCCCCAGAGACAGAGTCTTGTCACACAGTCTTCCCCACCTCAGCCTCCCAAAGTACTGGGATTACAGGCATAAGCCACTGTGCCTGGCCTCAAATATGTCTTACTCAATTGTTTATATACCGAGTAAAGCTTTCAGTCAACAGTAGACTATTAGCAGTTGAGTTTTAGGGGAGTCAAAGTCATGCACAGATTTTCCACTGCATGGGGTGTTGGTACCCCCACGTGGTTCAAGGGTCAACTGCATGGACTTTGCCGATCACTGCCGGGCCTTGCCTTTTCCCTCCCCCGCTGAAGCATCTTTTCCTGCCAGCCTCCGTTCCCAGCTCCAAGGCTGCCCCCTTGCGAGTTTCACGTGGCATAACAGTGTCATTATCCTGCCTCCTGCCCCCTCTCCTACTGGGACATCAAATGTTCTCTCCTGGGAGCTGATTTCAGAGTAGCGGCTCCTAAAGTGCATCACCAGAGTGGCAGTTCCCGTGGGTCAGAAACAGACCTCCTCCTCCTTCCAGCAAGTACAAGGCCTTTGCCCGCGGCTCACTGAAGACAGGCAGGTGAGGACGCGCAGAGGGGAGAGACGGGTGAGGAAGGGGGCCCACGTGTGCAGGGGCAAGCTTACCTCCCCCTGCCACCTTGTTCTGGCTCCATGCTCCTCTCCTGACCCGGGTGCAGCCCTCGGCAGGTGCAGCTCTCGGCTTGAGCGGCTCCAGGGAGGCCTCCGGGCCAGGCTGCCCTGCAGTTCCTCCGCAGCAGCTCCCCGCAGGGACCAGGAGAAGTAGCCGGGCCCTCCCGCCCCATGCTCCTTCCCCCTAGCGGTGGCCACTACTTCTGGGACGTGCCCCCTTGCGTTCTTGGCGCACACCCTGTCTTCAGGCCAGGACCCCTTCCCAAGTAACCAGTCACCAGCGGGTTGAGCACCACACTCCAGGCACCCGTGATGAGCCCCAGCTTCCTCCAGGAGCCTCCCATGTCGGGGTTCAGGAAGCTGGCCACGTTGGAGGCGTTGTAGGGTCCCACACAGAGCAGCAGCGTGAGCAGCGCCCCTCCGGCCACCCACGCGGCTCTCAGCTTCCGCCTGTGCGTCAGGCCGGATCGGGCCAGCGCCCGGAGGCAGCCCACATAGCAGAAGGCTGTGATGGCCAAGGGCAGGAAAAAGAGCAGAAGAGAGAGGCTGAGGCGGGCAGGGGCGGCGGAGGCCGGGTCCCAGGCCTCCAGGCACACGGGAGAGCCGTTGACCGGGGTGTTGATGCCCAGCGAGGTGTTGCTGCTGTCCAGCCAGCCTCCCGGAGCCTCCAACCCAAGGACCAGGCCCAGGTGGCAGAGGACGAGGGCCCAGATGGCCGCGCACACCCCCCAGGAGTAGCACGGCCTCCGGAAAGCTTGGTAGCCCAGGGGGAAGGCGGCTCCCAGGTAGCGGCCGGCGCTCAGGGCGGCCAGGAAGCCCCCGCCGGCGTAGAGCGGAGCGAAGTGGGCCACCGCGAAGACGGGGCACAGCGCGGCCGGCAGAGGCCAGGCCCCTAAGGCCAGCGCCTCCACCGCCTTCAGGGGCAGGGAGACCGTCAGCAGCAGGTCGGAGCAGCCCAGGTGCAGGGCGTAGACCAGGCTGGGGGTGAGCCGGAGCCGGGCGTGGGCCGCGGCCCCTCGGATGGCCAGTAAGTTGAGTGGGAAGCCCAGCGCGAAGGCGGCCACATAGAGCGCGAAGGAGAGCTGCGGGGGCAGGTCCATGGGGCCGCCGTCCTGCCTACACGGCTCCGGTGCGCAACAGGCTCCTGGTCCTCAGATCTTGAGGCCCTGGAAAGGAGGGGCTCCTGGGATCACTCGCGGGTTCCGGTCCTGCCTGGAGGATTAGAAATCGCCTGGTTGGATCACCGAGGAAACGGAGGCCCACAGAGGGAGGCGGCAGCCAGGGAGCAGCGGAGCCTAGATGAGAAGCTGGGACCTGTGGCCCCCAGTCCTGAGCTTCCTCTCCACCATATCACCTCTTAAAACCAGGGGGAGCACCCACAGGATCACAGGAGATAGGACATCACGAGGGTCCCAGAGGAAGGGGGGCTTCTTGATTTCTGAGACCCTGTGGGGAGGAGGGGTGGAGAGAATTCAGAACAGGGCTGGGCCCACAGCCTGAGTCTTCCCTGGGAATGGGAGTTTGACTCCTGAGCCCGCTGCCCTTCGGCTTCCCTGGCAAGGCAGGAGCTGCTCCCCCACAGTGGAAAGCCGGCAGGACAGCGGGAAGGAGAAGGGTGTGGATGATGTGGTGGTTGTGGCCAGGGGCAGGAAAAGGGGGTCCCCCAGGGAGATCCCAAGGGTCAGCTGTGCCGTGTCCATGTCACAATTGAGCTCAGCAGTCCTCAGGGGCCACCTGGGCAGGGGGATCTGGGGGTTTGGGGAATAGTCAGGTGAAGAAAGGAGTCACAGAAGGAGAAACCCACCTCCTGGTGCTGCCAGATGTCTCTGAGGCTCAGCAGTCCCCTCAGCGGGCTGAGGGAGGATGCCTGGGATGGGCAGTGAGCCGGAAGGAGAGGAGGGCGGGTGGCAGGGCCATTAGCCTGAGGTTCTAGCAGCTTGGGTGAGCAGCTAATGGGGCATCCCGGCTGGAGCTGAGACCGCACCGGAGGAGTTGAGGGGCTAGGAAGATGCAGGAACACAGAAGGGCCAGGGAGGAATTAGGGTCCTGTCTGGGTAGGAGCCAGTGCCTTGCAGGAGCAGGGCTGGGGCTTGGCCACAACCCAGTGCTATTCCCTCCCCAGCTCTCCTGCCTGTTCACACCTGCACTAGGGCCAGGTCTCCCCACCCTCGATGCACCCCTGGGCAGGCCCCCGGCCTCACTGGCTCATCCCAACAGCACAGGGTGCCCCGTGACCGCATCCACCAAACCATCTTCACATGGCAGTGGGTGTGTGGGATAAGGCGTGATCACGTTCAGGCTGTGGGCTTTGGTTTTTTCAAGGAGGGGGCCCCTGTGTTCTCCCTCCCCTTCCCCTCTAGTTCCATGGTGGTGGCTTCCGACCCTTCTGGGGCTGGCAGAAGGAGAGGGAGGAGGAAGGCAGGGGATGGGTGCAACCTCCGTTGGCCAGCACTGGAGGACCCAGGCTTTGGCCCCCACTCTGCCTGTCTGGGGGTGGCACGATGTCCAAGCCGACTCCCTCTGGGGTGTGTGGATGGGGACATTGAGGGGCACTCCCTGAGGTGCAGGAGATGTGGCCTTGGCTGGCTACATAGCTTTCTTCTCTTAGCCCTGGGAATCCTCCCAGCCCTTCATGTTTCCCATTGGGGTCACCTGAGCCTCCCAGGAGGCCTAAGGAAGATTTCTAAGGGCTCCAGATTCTCCCTCAGGTGTGCCCATGCCTGCCAGGGAGAAGCCAGCTTTGCTCTGTGAATCTGTCTCTGTCTCTCACTGTGCCCGTGTCTGTCCGTCTGTCTGTTTCCTGCCTCAGAATGACAACACAGACTCTCCACATCTGTTTTCTCAGGTGTGGGGGTCACCTGACCACTCTGCCCTGTCTGAGTTCCAGATGCCCATCGTAAGCCTCTCTCCGTGAGGCCTCCTGGCAGCTCCGGTCACCAGGCTTCAGGGGGGCAGTACGGGGGCTCGGCCTATCACTAACTCCCTCAAAGACACCATCTCACTTCTTTTCATACCTCAGAGCCACTAAATTGGTCCACGCTCGCCTTTTTTTCGAGACCCGCACATGGGGTGCAGCACCCGCTGTGAGCAGAGAACTTGCCTCCTACTGTTCAGTGTGGTGTTGGGAACCAAGAAACTGACAGAACAGAGGAAGAATCCGAAAGAGTGCTGTTTCCTCTCCTACACCAAGAGCAAAGCCCCGGGGAGCGGTTGGGTTTTTCCACCCACTGGCATCTGGCTCTTCGCCCAAGGTCACCTCCTCCGAGGGCCTTCCCGGGTGCCTCAGCCACCTTGATCCCTTCTGTGAATCTCGCTTTTGCTGTGTTTCTTCAGGGCATTCATGACTGTGACATCGTCTTGGCTGGCCCCTGGGCTAGAATACCGGCCTCCTGAGGGCAGAGGTTTTTGTCTGCTTTGCCTATCACATGTTGCACAGGAAGCGTGTGGGGAACTAAATGCACAATCCATTGTCTGCGCCCCGGGAAGACGGTGAGAGCTGGGGTTGTGGAGGGTGGCCTGGGCTTGTGTCTGGTGTCCTGGCCCCCCCAGCTTCCTGGCCACCTGCTCTTCACGCCTCAGCAATGTCTATTGATGGCCACATCTCATGGTCAATCAGCCATGTAGTAGGTTTATGTCAGCAGCTGCGCTGAGGGACAGGGTGGGAAGGGGAAGACACTCGGTGGTTGCCAGGGAGCCTGAGCCAGGCCCTTCAGGCTTAGGACTGCCTTGGCTCCCTCCAGGGGATCCTGTGCTAAAAACCTTTGGGTCCCCTAGATTTAGAGATCCCCAAGGTTGGTCCTCTGCTTTATATTTTTGGTGTCCTAACAACTGGATCTGTACTGGTTGCATTTCCAGGTGCTCAGTAACTGTGTGCGAATGAATGAAGGAAGGGATGAATGACACCGAACCTCATTTTGGCCAGACATCCCAACACCCTCTCCGTCTCATTTAAACAGTGCTTGAAGTCTCATCTTCCTCCAGCAAAGTTAACGATGCTCACCAGAAATCAAAACAGGGACAAAGTGGATTGATGCAGAGATCAAGGCCTCCCTGCACTGTAATTCCTAGAGTCAGCATCTAGGTGTTGAGCAGAGATGGGAAAGGAGGGTGGGAAAGGAAGTCAGCAGTTTGGGGACACCGGCCGTGTGTCAGGAGCTAGTCCCCTTGATGATCGGATAATCACACCGGAAAATTGGCTTTGGCCACTTCACAGAATCAGGTGGATGGGTGGAGAGAGATCAAATCTGAGAAGCGGAAAGGGAAGCAGGGGCACCTAACTGGAAAATCTGAATCAGTGAACAGAATTAGGGAACTGGTGCGGAGGACCGTGAACGGCAGAAAAGCTATGAGCTTTCTCAGCGTGGCTGGTCTTCAAGACTTTCTCTGGCAGCTATGGGTTGTGCAAGAGCTGGGTAGCATCACTTTTGAGAAGAACTGTATTGAATTGGCTTCCCCTTTTCACATTCTTCGAGAAATGCAAATGAAGGATGGGGTTTGTTTCCTGGGGGACTTTTGGCTTCTGTGCTGGCTCCAGCCTATATGACGATGCCTCACTTCCTATCAGGGGCCACCTGCATAGTGGGCAGTGGCCTCTCCCTCTCCACTTTACAGATGGAGAAACCAAGGCTCAGGCAAGCTGGCAAGCCTTGCCAAGATCACCCGGCTAGTTAAGTCAAAAAATCAAGACTCAAGCTCTCACGCTCATCTGCCTGCAAAGCCAGTATGCTTTTCCTAACAAGACGCCGGACTCTCCAATGGGCTGATTTGATCACTAAACTACTGTGACCATTCCCTTCCCCACCAGGCCCCATGAAGCCTTCCCCCTCTCCTCTTCCCCACTCTGACTCCACAGACTGAAAAGAGTTCACTGGTTCTTTCAAGTGGCATCTGAGCCATTTTTATTGTGAGCTCTGTCTCCATCACATGTTTATCCACACCGGTGTGTCCATGTCAAACCCGGAGTTCCCGGAGGCGAGGGGCCACTGTGGCATACGCTCCCTATGCAATGCCTCGCTTCCAGAGGAGAAGCCAGGCCAGGACTGGGCCCCTTCCTACCTTAATTCTGTTCTTTTCTGGGCTTTCCCCCCAAGAGGCAGAAACTGGGCATAAGATTCGTGAGTGGGGATGTCAGATCAGGGGTAGGAGGCCAAAGAGGTGGAGGAGGGAAGGAAAAATGATGATGGGCAGATCCCAGAGGGACACAAGCAGCTGGGGTGGGGGTGGAGGTGGGGGTGGGGGTCAGAGGGGAGGGTGGCAGCCTACGGGTGGGGGTCGGGGCACGGGAAGGTGTGCATCTTGGGGCAGGTGTTTAGATGGGTTTCTGGGTAGCAAGGGGAGTGGAGGGTTGGGGTTACCCTCACCAGAAAGACTGGCTGAGCAAGACACAAGGTTCTCTGCAGTGAGCATGTGTGAGTGTGTGCGGGTATGAATGTGTGTGTGTGTGTGTGTGTGTGTGTGTGTGTGTGTGTGTGCGTGCGCGCGCGCGAAGGAGGAAGCCATGTGGTGGAGTCTGGGGAAGCTCTGGGACTTCCCTGGCCCCTGCTGCTCCCAGCGCCTCTGCTGCAGCCCATCCGGCGTCAGTGCTTGAGGATCACGTAGTCCACGTTTTCCGGTGCCTGAGGCCGCTCCCCAACCCCAAACCGAATCAGCTCCGAGTAATGAATCCCCTCATCCTCTGGAAAATCTGGAACCACGTTCTCATAGTCGTCCTAAGAAAGCCACGTGGTGATCAGCCTGGCCCCGCTGCCGCCAGCCTCCCACCGCGGCTTTCCTCCGAATCCTCTCCTTCATTCCACTCAGGGGTCCAAAAGCCCAGGCAGGCGTCCTGGTGTTCAGAAACTGGCTGTGGCCGGCATCCAGGACCTGGAGGTGCCTGCCTGGCTCTCACCAGCTCTTCTGGAGCAACCGTTTCCAACACCCAACCTCTGCCATCACGGATGTCTGCCTAAGTCCTTCCTTGCGGGACCCACCACCGAGGCCAGGCCCGTCCCCAGCCTTCCACAGCCCCTCCCTCCTTACCACTTGCCGCTTCTGCAACACTGAATAAATGACCGAGTCATCGCGGTCTGGGGGAGGTCTCTGGATCTCTGAGGTCTCTGCATCTCTGAGAGGGCAGGTAGACAACCACATATGAAGCATTTCTCATGAACTTTCCTTTCTCTTTTTTTTGAGATAGAGTCTTGCTCTGTCACCCAGGCTGGAGTGCAATGGCATGGTCACCGTAAACTCCGCCTCCTGGGTTCAAGTGATTCTCTTGCCTCAGCCTCTCGAGTAGCGGGGGTTACAGGCGCCCACCACCATGCCCAACTAATTTTTGTAGTTTTAGTAGAGACAGGGTTTCACCATTTTGGTTAGGCTGGTCTCGAACTCCTGACCTCCTGATCCGCCCACCTCAGCTTCCCAAAGTGTAGGATTACAGACGTGAGCCACTGCTCCCCCAACAGCACCCCAACATCAGCCTCTTCTGTAAAACCTGCTGCCTCCCCAGCGCCCAAAGCTCAGAGTAGGAGCTCTCGCAAATGTATGTGGAGGGAGTAGGCGTGAGTGTGTATCACGAGGTCTTGACCTCCGTGATAAGGATGGACTGGGCATGCGTGCTGCTGACTGGAAGGAGCAGGTCCACTTCCGGAGACTGACCCTTATCCAGAGGCTTGTTATAGAGCGGGAATGAGGTGTGTATTGTGGTGCCTGGCATGGGCCTGGCACAAAGAGGGCAGACAGGACAAGAGCTTTTCCTCTCACCTCCCCCCCAGGGTGCTGGGCCGCCCTCCCGGTACCCTCAGTACCCAGTTCGTGGTGTATTCGTCTCAGGAAATTGCAGGGTGGCATAGCTAATGACATCTTCCATCATCGGATTGTAGCATCCCAGGGAGTGGGGGCCTTCCGAGAGAGGGGCTCTTCTAACCTGGAAGGGAGGCGTGGGTGAAGTGCCAACCACCTGTTCCCCGACTCTGGTCCCCTTCTCTGTCCTCTGACAGCCCAGGTCTCCCCAGAGGACATTTTATTCCCCTCCTTCACCTCGTTTCCCCACTTTCCTTCACAGTCTGCCCTGCATTCACCTTTCTCCCATCCTATTTTTTTTTTTTTTTTTTTTTTTTTTTTTTTTTTTTTTTTTTGAGGCAGTCTGGCTCTGTCGCCCAGGCTGGAGTGCAGCGGTGCAATCTCCGCTTACTGCAACCTCTGCCTCCCGGGTTCAAGCAATTCTCC